CGGGCACAGGATGGCTCTGTTCGATAAACTGGTAACCAAACCACTGCGGTTCTCCCCTCAAACTCCCGTCAATATGCAGGGCACTATTTACCGCGCAATGCGGTCCGCGTTTCGTACCCAGGGAACACCGGGTTGTGATGTCGCTCCGGTAGCCGGCGGTTTTGCTAATTACCTCCGCGCAGATCTTGGGATGCCACCTGAGACCAAACCACTCACTCACTAAACCAACTTAATGGAGCTCAGGCCTACTTGAAAAGCCGCCAGTTGCGCAACCAACAATTTACCAACATTCTACGCAACCCGAAGATTTATTACGACGTTCGCAAGAGCCCTCCACTGGTCGCTAAAGTCCAAAGAATAAGTCTCTAAGTCCGAGGCCACTTGTGACATTTCGTAAAAAAGAAAAATATGGAGAGTTCTTTAGCCCAAAACCCATCCCAAGCTGGAGGACCACCCCTTATCGGCTGCTTACTCAGTACAGTCGTAGCTGCTCCCCATATTTTGGAGGTCGTCTCCTGGAGACGCGCCATGCCGTGCTGACAACGGACGCCGTGCGCCCATTCATTATGCAGCAATACATAGTTCGACGCTACATACTCCGAGTTATGGCCGGAGCATTCAGCATCTCGAAAAGTAAGATGGTGGATCAATGATGAATTTGAAAGGATTTGGAAGAAAACCATCGCCGCCTAAGTGACGTACACTCCTGGAAATTTTCTGGAGAACTGAAGAACATCATGACAAACAAAACAAAAAAAATCTCCGTGGCCTGTCGTCCGCGAGCGAACTATACCAACCGAGCGACGCCGCTTGTGGGTGAAGCTAGTGCCAAATTTAGCGGATAGACGGTGTTGCGTGGTCAGCGCAACAAATCCCCACGGCCGTTAATCTCGGTTTTCTAGACCGGAGTCGCTGTTTCCTTGAAACAGCTCCTCAATTATTGTCACGAGGCTGAGTGGACCACGTTCCAGACCCACTACTTCTCAGAAAATCTTGTAGCGCCGGGAATCGAACCCGGGACCTCTGAATCTGAAGCCAGGAACTCTGACCACTAGACCACAGAGGCGGTCTCATCATGACAAACTTGTCAACATAACAAGTGTCCGGGAACATGGCTGACTGCGCAGTAAAAATGGGGCCCGCAACAGGAGTACAAGCCCACGTGTTGCTGAAGCACTGCAGGTATCCATAAGCACAGGCTCGTGTTGGTTATTCAAACAGGTCTGCAGCGAGTGATTGATCCGACGCCTACGCCGACGCTCTCACCGATCCGTCATGGCAATGCATCAAAATGGAAGCTGTTATTTCAGCAAGTCTTCTTCTAATGCGCTGAAGTTTCTCAAATGAATTGACGTGTCACGAGGAAGATGGACAGTCGTAAATATCGTGTTGTGGCACAAGTCTCGTGTCTTGTAACTTCGAGGGGATATGGCTGCCATCTCGGGCCACGCAGGAGTGACACACAATTAAATGCACGTAGCCTTTTTCGGAATGGGGACTGGAATCGCACAAATACTTGCACACTGCTTTAACAGTCGTGGTCACCGTATATATTGGTAAGAGTAGGGTGTTCTCTATTAGGTCCGCAGCAGTAAGCAGCGAAGTTATGTGACGTGGATGGCGCAACAGGAAGTAGGGGTCAAGTGAACTCTGCGGTCTCGCGAGTGACGTCACATACCCCCACTCCTTCCATCACTACGCAACGCTCGGTAAACACCTCTCCCCCACGGTGATGTAACAGCACTTCCCACAGTGACGTAACAGGGGACACCGCGGTTACTACGCAGCAATAAACAACTCTCAACGCGGGCACGCCACAATGAAGGAACTGTTGGAAGCGGTGTTTTCTGTGCGATCCGTGCCGAGACTATAAAACGAGAACCAGCTGAGATTACGGGCGAGTCTTGAGATGGCAGTTAGAAGAGTATGAGTTTGGTGTGAGATGGCCGCCAGTCTGCGAGGACGTGGGCCCGGAAGCAGAGGAACATCCACTGTTGGAAGCCGTTACCAAGCAGGGTAGTGAAGACCGCGACTGAGAACACTAGTCTGTGTGTGACAGTGATTTATAAAGTGTAGTCACGAGTTGTTTGAGGATTTAATAAGTCTGATTAACAATCGAAACCCCGTCTACAATCACTCCATCACGTGACAATATATATACCCTCTACGTGTATACACATATGCTAACATAGAGACAAGACTACTTTCTCCAGGGTAGCAACGCCATGCAACTTGGGTAGACAGTAAGCAGTAAGCACCTCGCTCGTTGCTCGCTTCACATATCTTCACCCTGACGATGGAGGCACTATGTTCCCCCGAGAGTCCATGTACTTCTTGGTGTGAGTATAATACAGGAAGTTCGAGCATTAGAATCCCACAATACGGAGTCGGGAAGACCTACACAGTTCGGAATACTAAGAACGCCTCGCAACGCGCCGTGAAGATGGTACATAGCGCCTGCGCATTGCGTTCTGATCTGAGCCAGATGCGAGCTTTTCTTGGCCTCCCGTTGTTTCGTGAACTACACCAGAGGATACAATACATAATGTGTCCTCAAATCCTAACCGGGAGACTAGAATTGCGAGGGGTCTCACCACCCCATTGTGAGGCAAACTCCACTCACAATGGCCTACTGGACCGCCTACTTTACGGTAATCAAAGGGCAACCCCACTGCATTCACGTCGGACGTATTTATTCACTTCCCCCACGCACACTGAGGGACCGACTGGGCCCATCATGACTACAGTGGGTCACCATGACCTGGTCCCCACCATACTACATCACTTCGCTCTCGGCGGAATATTGGAAACAGCGCGGAAGGTATTAACCCTTTGAAACCCGACGCTCGTCAGTATGATATTTGTTAAATCAGTTCTCACTTTATAGAAAGGGGCACGCGGTAGCGTATTTGGTTGAGGCGCTATGCTACAGCCCGCAAAGTCGCGGGTTCGATTCTCCGCAATGTGAGCCTACGTCTAGAAAATGTGGGAACCTCGACGTCTCACAACGCTATGGTCCTCCACGGCCTGTTAGATGGATAGCTTTACCGCACAGAAAACACACGACGTCTGTTTGAAATTATTCAAGTTATCATGGCGGTGACAAGGAACGAACCATGTTCTGGGATGTGACGCCGTGTAATCTTGTAGAAACTTACCAACGTGTAGGAAACAAGCATTTCGTGGTCAAGTAGTAAGCCGGGAAAGCAAGTAGTTAGTTTTCCGAAACGTCTGTAAACACGTAATAGATTAGACAGCGTCACGGTCCTAGAAAACCGTGCTTTGTTACGAAGACCGATCGGTTGATGCGGTTTTAAGATGAAGTAAAGAAAAACAGAAATAACCAATTATGTTGTCTGAAACGAAATATATAGGCAACGGAAATATATTATGCTGTGAAAACGATGAACAAAATTAGGCGATACATGTAGCGTTTCTAATAATATTATTACACAACAAAACAAGTTGTCTTGACGGCAATTTCCATCCCAGTTAGTGACACTCACAGAAATCACGGGTCAACGCCTAACAGAAGTTTCACATAACTCAGAATGTCTTGAATGCAAGAGCCTGAATGAAGGGTTGTGCTAGTCACTAGTCCCTAGCCCGAATCAGATGAATCCAATCAACTACCCCACATCAATCACTTCAAGATGCGTCTTAATATTATCCTCCTACTTACATATAGGTCTTCCAAGTGGTCTCTGTCCCCCAGTCTTACCGACCAAAATTGTGTACACATTTCTTATATCACCCTGTGCATTCTCCTATACGTATATACCAAGCACTTAACGGGGTAGCGAAGGGGAAGTTCCCCACTCGAATCCCGGATGGGAAGTAGGTTATCCTAACTGAAGTTTAGCTTTGCATCCTGTTGTTTGAAATCCTCACTGCTCACCGCCCGCCCACACACTCACACTTAAAGACATCAATACCGGGCGGCTTGGTTTCGATTCCTGGCAGGGGCAACAGATCTTTCCCTATTAACGGCGCCCAGACCGCCTCTGGGGCCCACTCAGCCTTCTATGCAATGGGTACCGGGGGTAAAGCTGCCGGGGCATGAAGCTGAATATCACCTCCAAGCAGTGCCGAGTTCAAGCAAACGTGGACCTATACATGCACTCCCCATACGTCTTAATGGCGTAGTGCTTAATTAGGGGACTTTTTTCTTTTGGCGCCACAGCCCCAATTTGGGCCTTGACCTGCCCCCATGAAACTCTCCGTTTCACTTCTCTTTACTAGATCTTAGACATTCGGTAGGACTCCTTGGGCGGTGATCAGCTAGACGCAAGGCCTCTACCTGTACACAAACACAGAAAAACGCACACAAACATCCATGCCCTGAGTGGGATTCGAACCCACGATGCGGGCGTCCCGAACGAGCGAAGACAGTGAATGCCTTTGATCACTCGGCTACCGGGACCGGTCAGGGACCAATTTAATTTAAACAGCTACCAGTTATTAGTCTTACGTATGACTGTTGTCAGGTTTCCGTCGTCTTCCTCAGTCCCTTCAAGTAAACTCCGGGATATTATCTGGACCAGGCAAGGGTCGCTTCCTTCCAGAACCTTCCCAGTTCATCTATCATCACACTGTTCGACGTCAACGCTCTCTATACTAACATCGCCGGAAAATAAACCAAAGAGAAAAGTGCGAGAGAAAAATGGATCACAGGTTAAAAGTCAAAGTAGGTATAGGAGCTCACTGATCGGAGGGGCTTTTTGACGGATGTCCACCATTGCGAGCGACAGAGAGAGCGCGCCAGGGAGAGAGAAAAACACGAGGATCAAATGCAGTGGGCGCCTCCTCCCCCAAAAGTCTTGCCAGGTCCTGTTGCCCGAAGAAGCCAAGCCTGGCTGGTTCAACACTACACGGCATATCGATCGCCGTCCTGTCCCGGCCAGACCTGGGTACGACACGACCGGTCCCGGACTCATCCGACGCGTCGCGCGCTCTCCGCTGCTGCTGTAGCCCGGGTTGCTGCAGTCACAGCCCGACAGGCGGCGCTAGTGCGCCCGGTAACATTTTTCAGTGCGCTGCTTACGGCTCTTGTGTCTGCGTGATGCATGCTGGGACCACGAGACACATACGCCACACGGAAGTAGGTGTCAGGCAACTTTCCTTCGAGTGTACATACACAAGTGTTTCGTGTCGGCGTGTGAAAGTTTTGAAGTTTTTAATCAGTGATGATTTTTTGTCTCACGAAATTTAAGAAAAAGTAACTGAAGTTATTTTACCGTAGTTTCTACAGGCTTGTGAAGATATACAGACATATTATCGTTTATGCAAAAACTGTGGAATTTTAATTAACACAGATCTCGGTTCAGCAGAAGAAAAGTTGGTGTTCCTTGTTTAATACAGGTCAGTGAATCTCTTCTGATGTGTCCCATATTTTCAAATGACAAATTTAAGTGACATTACCCTAAATAGTACCATAAAGAAATCACTACGGTACTTCATAATATAAAACACTGGAATGCGTTTAAGTTGCCCGTTATCGTGTCCAAACATATCTAATATATGCTGTATATTAATTACATTTTAACTAATATTTAACAGTATTTTCTCGTGGGCATATATAGGTCCATACATATATATTCTGAATATTTTAAGTGCATTTAAATACAGTTAGTAAAATATATATATTTTTTTAATTTTGCGGCGTACTGCTTAATTAATATTAGTCACAAGAGGAAAGAAATTTATTCAAACACCGACACACTAATCTGTGCGTAATTTCCGCAATGCTTCCTCGTGCGGCTATTGTCAGGAACGGGTACCGGCGCCTCACTCTAGGACGCGTTCAGGATCTGTATCATACAGCGTCGATTGCAGGAATGGTGGGTAAATTGTAAACTATTTGGAAGGGAGCGGTCGTGGCCTACTCGAAGTAGTGTCTCGCCATTTGCGTGAAGGGACTGAAGAAGACCGCGGACAACCGGTGTAACAGGGCATCTCCCGAACACAGGCCAAAAGCGCCGCCGCTGCATATGCTGAAGCACTTATCCGTACAGGTTTCGTGACTTGTACTCTTCGCAAAGTATGATTTCAATGATCAAGTCAAGGAGGATGAGGTGTACAGGGCATGCAGCACGAATGAGGAGTAGAGGAATGCGTATAGGATATTGGTTTGAAAGTCAGAAGAAAAGAGACTACTAGGAAGACCAAGAAGTAGGTGGATGGATAATATTAAAATGGATCTTAGAGAAATAGGATGGGGTAGTATGGATTGGATTGATCTGGCTCAGGATAGGGACCAGTGAAGTGCTATTGTGAACACGGTAATGAACGTTCGGGTTCCTCGAAAGCAGCTCACAATTGGCGGCTCCTCAAGAAGGGCTCAGCTCCGTGGAGTTAGGGGGTGGGTCTGAGTCCCTAACTGTGCAGATATGGGGCAGTGGTGGAATGAGGACTGGCAGGGGTAAACCGAAGCGGTCAGAGAAACCCCTGACACGAACCGCAGGGCCCACTAAGATTACCCGGGGATTGCAACCAAGCTCTCCGAAGTTCGGAAACAGCTGCCAGACGGAGTGAAGGAAACAAGTATTATTAATTAATTCTGCGCAAAATGAGCAGGAGAACAGAGCTGTGAGGGTGCCGGCCGGTACATCTGCCCATTAGTTAGGTTCGTTAATGATGAGGCCTGCCGCCTCACAGCGGCTTATATTAGCAAGGAGGAGCGATCAGTCAGCAGTGAATCCAATTACTGTGCAGACTGGAGGAAGCTGCAGCCCTCACTGCACACTCTTCATCTGAAGTTTCTGTTTTGCGGACACCCGTACGTGCAGTTAGGTCTTGAAGGCGCCATCATAACGTGTACAGATCAGACTTAATTGGAAATTGTGCTCTTCGGTGTAATGGCGCCGTGTAGTCTGGTGCGTGCGACATACTGCCCCCATCTTCTGCCGTCGAGGCTGGGGACAATGTTGCTCAGAAACCCTTCCAACCACTTCCGAGAGTTCATGAAGTCTATCTAGTCTGAATGCACGATACCAACGTTTCGGGGCAACATAACATTGTCTTCTACTGCGAAGATGGAGGAAACAATTTTTATTTTTTTTTTAATTCGCGTAGTGGGGGGTCGAGTCCAGCTGGGTCCACTCGGCACGGCAGTCACTGGTTGGCCTATTGTAGCCTGACCAGGGTGATTATGGTGATGGAGAATTTGGCGGAATGAAGACTGGCGGAGGGGGACCGAAGTACTCGGAGAAAATCTGCCCCAGCGCCACTTTGTCCACCACAAATCCCACTTGACCAGACCCGGGATCGAACCCGGGCCGCCGCGGTGGGAAGCCAGCGACTAATCGCTTGAGCTATGGCGCGGCCTACGGAGGAAACATACTCTTCCCGGAATCTTCCTGACCACCTGCCAGTCTTCACGGTGTCAATCAGAAGACCACAGTATTGGAACTTAATTATTAACGCTATTTGACCCAGTGATCTCGCGAAAATATTATTAAAATGGTGAAACCAATGAGCATGAGAGTGACAGGGAACGTAGAAAGCAGAAGCACGCAGAGAGTTTTGTAAGAAATCATAAAGGAAAAGGACTACTAGGAAGACCTAATCGACAATGGGAAGGCAATATTAAAATTGAGCTTGATGATATAGGATGAGTGTAGACTGCAGTCATCCGACTAAGGACAGGTACCAGTTGCGGACTCTTGTGAACACGACACTGAAATTTTGAGACCCGTAAAATTCAGGGATTTTCTAGAATAGCTAAGCAACTATTAGCTTGACAATAAGGGCTCTGCTCAGGGGAGTTATGCCATTCATTGTAAATTCTTCACTGTAGATCATACTGCCTTCAGCAATGATTTTTATATCTTCGAGAAAAAATAAAATATTTATTTATTTGTGGTTAATTTAGTGATGCTGTCAGTAACCCGACTGCCGGGTAATGGCCTGAAGAGGAAGTGAGGAACCATACAGGCCCATGTCCGGAGGGACTGAGAGAAACCACGAAAACGCTCAATAGGTACAGAAAAGCAGGGTTGGTATCAGCAGACTCTCTGCCTTCGGTAAACTAAAATACCAAAGAGACTTATCGCATGTGAAAGCAATTACAAAGCCTGTCCCATGTTTAACTTCCATTGTTCTGTTACGCAAACACAAGAGCAAAACGTAATGCGGGAAAATCGCCAATTAGAACGCTGTGCTCTGGTTTCAAAGCCAGTAGCACATACACCACATACTGACTTCTAAAGTTTGGCTGCAGCGGCAATTATACAACGTCACAGCTTCGGGGGGTACATTTAAGATCAGATAACTTTCTGATGCATGGATAAAGAAAGTTAGAAGAGTGCACCTGTCAGGATAACACGACTTAAACGTTTGTGACGATGGTACAGTAACAGAACTACGCTTTACCTTCACTCCAGCACATGTTTACCTCAAGGGCAAGCTGATAGAGCTTGGGAGTATGTGAAGCCGGAATTTTGCTCCTTCCTCACATAAAATGCAGCGCCTCTCACTACTCCCCCCCCCAATTTTCCTTCCTCTTTTTCAGGCTTTCGGGGGTTCACTGCTTTGTGCGATGAAGGTAGGAATTGGATTTAAGGATAATCAAGTGGAGTCGGGAGTCGTAAAGCAAGGAGAGGTCTTTGTTAAACCTTAAGCTACTGAACTGGAAAATGGAGGCTTATGCTTTAATACTGCCCATTAATTAGGCTTACGCAGTGATTCCCATTGTTATTATTGCGGCAGAAACTTTGTCACGTGATAAAGCGCTGATTAATGCATAATAGCAAGTAAATAACAAGAAGACATGCAGAAAGAAGGCATTTCCTTGTAATCGGATTAGCTCTACTGTTTCGGGCCTAAAGGAAGACAGGGAGGGATAGAGATGAGGTAGAGAGGGAGGTAGGAACCTCACAGGAAACGCATTGCGTCCCCGCTACAGAACCCAACCGGTTAATGCTGTTTAGGGAAACAGTCGCTGTTTACTGCGAGAACCATACGGAACACACAAATAATATAGAGATTCGGTGCGTACCTCACAGGAAACACATTACGTCTCCGCTACAGAGCCCAACCGGTTAATGCTGTTTAGGGAAACAGTCGCTGTTTACTGCGAGAACCATACGGAACACACAAATAATATAGAGATTCGGTGCGTACCTCACAGGAAACACATTACGTCTCCGCTACAGAGCCCAACCGGTTAATGCTGTTTAGGGAAACAGTCGCTGTTTACTGCGAGAACCATACGGAACACACAAATAATATAGATATTCGGTGCGTACCTCACAGGAAACACATTACGTCTCCGGTACAGACCCCAACCGGTTCATGCTTTTTAGGGAAACAGTCGCTGTTTACTGCGAGAACCATATGGAACACACAAATAATATAGAGATTCGGTGCGTACCTCACAGGAAACACATTACGTCTCCGCTACAGAGCCCAACCGGTGAATGCTGTTTAGGGAAACAGTCGCTGTTTACTGCGAGAACCATACGGAACACACAAATAATATAGAGATTCGGTGCGTACCTCACAGGAAACACATTACGTCTCCGCTACAGAGCCCAACCGGTGAATGCTGTTTAGGGAAACAGTCGCTGTTTACTGCGAGAACCATACGGAACACACAAATAATATAGAGATTCGGTGCGTACCTCACAGGAAACACATTACGTCTCCGCTACAGAGCCCAACCGGTGAATGCTGTTTAGGGAAACAGTCGCTGGTTATTGTGAGAACCACACGGAACATATTGTCACGTGTTGGGTGTATGTCAAGCGACAAATAACTTTACGCCGTATTGAATCAAGCGAATTTATTTCACATTCGCTCTTACAATTACACAAGTACTGCCATCCGCAGTATCACGAATACTTCTCCTGTAGCCATTCGCTCCGGCGAATGCTAGACTGCTACATTTTACTCGTATAACCGGTACTCACAGGATAGACACGACACACTATAACAGAAGACTTCCCGCTCGTTCCCTACCTATTACATAAGTTACATTCATGCAATATGATAACAATCAACAATTCCTTGCCATGGTAACCAGAAATTGCGTAATTTCCGAGCTTCCACTTTTACCTTACAATATTTTCTTTCTACATATAGAAGTGTTTTTGGTTTATTTCGCGATGTCGCCAATTCATAACACGCGTCTCTACAGCCTGCGCGCCACACGACACGATGATTAGCAAACTGAATTGGAAGGGTCGAGGAAGGAAGCGGTCTTGGTTTATTTTCGGGTATTAACCAGGAAAATTGACTGTAGTTTATAAAGAAGATCAAGAAAAATTCCCGTCAGGATAACCAGAAACCGCACCAAGATTTGAACCAGGGACTTCCTGAACACGAGGCAAGAGATGTAACCGATCGACCGTGACGTTTCG